TGTGTTCATACACATCACTCCTACACATCCTTTAAAATAAACTTGATTTTCTAAAGGGCGATTGAGGATCTGGTCGTAATTAAACTGGCAGACCCAGCACAGCCCTACATTAGGGCTGTGTGCCATACTACAGCTGGAAAATTATTTCAGCACCTGGAGCAGTGTGAGCACATCAGATAAAACACAGCTGGGGATCGACTTCCTACAACCTCTCCAAGGAAACTGCAGGAATTGCCACAGTTCCAGTTCCTCTAAGTTTGTAAAATACAGATTTAAAGCCTGAAAAGCCTCATCTCCCCTAAATTTCCAAGAATTCTCCTTCCCTCTTTATTTTTCTCCTTGGCAAAAAAAAATTCTAAATATGTAAAGATACAAACCTCCAAGGCTGACTCTCAAACCAGGAGAAACACACACCGAGCATTTACTCAACCTCCCCAGTTTACTTTGGGTTTGTTTTTTTTTTTAAAGGGAACATTTTAATTTTGAGTATTTGGGTATGGCAGCAGCAAAGCATTCAGCTTCTTTAAGGATTGATCCAGACAGCACACAAGTCGAAACACAAGTGCATAGATGTGCTAAATAGATGTTTCTTATGCCATGAGGCTACTCAATTTGGTCATTAGAGCTGTCAAAATAAGCAATTAAACCATCTGGTTTATTTTTGCAGTGTGTTTATGAGGGGAATAGCACCAATAAGAGGTTGGTAATCGCCACTAGATCAGGAGGTCGCACCAAAAAGAACTTGCTTCAACCAGCAGCCCAGCTTTGCACACACCACTGAGAACCAGAATCCTTATTTCAGCATCAGGGATCTTGGATTCTTCACTGAAGCACAGATTTTCTTGCTGTCCTTCTGGGTACCCAGCAGAATCCAGTCGGAGAAGCACATTTGGAATGAAAAATCCTCCTGGTTATTTATTATCCACTGCTACTGCTCTGGGCAGTTCTGCTACAGGCAACAACTCAGCAGTTGCTGAAAAAGTTCAGGGCAGCTAAAGATCTCGCTTTTGAGATATTTTCAAAGCTCAAGAGAACGGGGATGCTCTGGAAACACCGGACAAAGCTCAGCACGGGAGCTGAAAACTGTGCAGGGATCTGTCTGTGTCCCAGCGGATGGAAAGCACAGCCTCCACCACCCCTGCCGATGGAGAAGTGCCACCAGCAATGAGGACTCAGGGGCACTAACAAATCCTGTCCCCCAGCTGTGAGCAGGAACAGGTTTCCCTCAGGACAGGAGTCACATCATTCTGACACAGCAGAATTTGTCCTCTAACCAGTACTGCCACCTCGTGAAATTCTCCTGCTACATCACTCGGGTTTTCCAGCTGCCAACCCTGCAGGGGTTTACGCTCAGGACACTCTGGTATTGCTGACGAGGGGAAGCGCACGGCCTCAGAAAATCAGCGAACACACAGCACTGAGGAGCCCCTAAGGACCACTCACCACACCGATCCAGCCCACCGCATCGCTTTCCAGTGTTTCTGCATTTGTGACAAAGCAGAGTCAGAGGGAGGGGAAGGATTTATGGATACAGCTGGAGCAATACAGCGAGCCAGGAAAACTCAGTAGCTGCCTGAAACTGTCTTCAAATCCTGTTTTTATGATCAGACCTTCAGAGTGAAACATGCTGTAAGCCTTTTATCTGCACCAATAAATACGATCACAGATATCCTCGATCCAGAGAGGAATCGCTGGTGGCACAGCAAGTGCGCGACACTTGTCAAGAGGACTTCAGGTGTGGGGCAAAGGCACCCAAGGAATGCAACCCACACAGACCTGCTGAGGAGGAGCTTCACATCAACGAACCTGGAACAGCAGAGCCCAATCCAAGGGTTCACACAGCGCTGCCAGAGCGAGGAGCGTTCAGTCGCTACTGCAGCACATGGCTATGGACCCTCAGGCTTCACCGGGAGCCAGGGTGACATCAGCCACAGCTAACGCATGTTGAACAAAACCTGTTTCACAAACCTCCTTCTGCTTAAAGGAAGCAGCACCATGGAGTGATTAATTATTCACACCATAACCACACCTCTCCACTTCAACACAACGATCCAAGCAGAGGCTGGTAACTCCAGAGCAAAAACATAAAAGCACAAGCTCACCCGTCGTACCTTTGGAAAAGGACCTAGGGTACATTAGAATAGTTTGACAAAGCAGTGATTCATCCAGCCACATTTAAACAGGATAAAACCCAGGAAATTATAATCTTTATTTCTGTTTTCCAAGTTTCAGTTAGAATACCAGCTTCAAAAATAAATGGATCAAGTCAGGTCAAATAATTCAGTGGCACAATCGAAGAGCAACCCCAGTCCACTACGTTCCACAGGTGGAGCTCTAGGAAACGTCATCTTTACTCACGTTAAATATTGCACCCCTTCTCTAACACAAGCTGAAAGGAGTAAGATAGTCACCTTAAGACAGCATCTAAGAGATTATTGGAAGTACAGGAATAGACTAAAAAAACCCCCCAAATTTCCTATTTCCAATTACACCATTATAGCAAAATAGTAAGTTGATAAATATGTACAAAGATATCTACACAACATGCCTAACAGTGCTTGTACGATGCTCCAACGCACTGGAATTGCTAATACGCCATTTCCTTCTCCAAGTCAGCTGGCCTCTCCAAAGAGCTGACATCTCCCCC